AGATTTGGGGTTGGGGTTGAACAGGGGATGCCCGTGGCCAGTTAGAGGATTTGCCTCTACAGAGTCTGCTTTGCAGACATAGGTTATTAGGACCAGGGGAGAGGCAACAAGGACAGAGACCTGGATTATTCAGTTCAGGAGACCTGCTGGTTCACAAAGCCTTGATTATCCCTTCCTCAGTGGTGGTCATCAGCGACATGGTCCCACCCCACCCCACACACTGCAGAGTCTGCTAAGGAGAATGACTACCCAGGACCTTCACATGCATCAGGGAAGGAATTAGGATGAGGAACTTTCTCCTGGACATGTGTTACCCTGTAGGGGAAGCTTTAGCCAGCCCCCCAGCAGGCTACAGCTTCTAGTTGTTTATCCAAAAAAGATCTTATCTCTGTGGAAACACCAATGTGACACTGTATCCTAGCCAAAAAGAAAACAGTAATAAGTTAATCAAATGTTTTATAGGAGAGGATACTTTGTTATAGAAGGGTTTGTGTAGGGGAAGCTGTAGCCACGCCTGCTTAGGGGCTGGCTAAAGGTGTGCCTGACCAAGCCTGCGAGGGTCAGGTGGCTGGTTTCTGGTTTCAGTTTCACTTTTGGGTTGCTGTACAGACTGCTGCCACGCAGGCTGGCTAGGTTGCTCCGTAATTAAGGTTTTTTTCCCTATTAAAATCCGTTGTATTTCTACCTGGTTCTGTATTGGTAATTTCCCACCATAGTACCCTCAGGCCAGTCTAGTCTAGTTGTACTGAGTCTCCCTTCAGCACTGGCTTGGTCTCCCGTGGCTGGGAATGGGGTGAAGACCTACAGCCCCTGAGGGCTGGTGTCACACAGTATTTGCTTAACTATGTAAAGATGTGCTGCTGTTTTACTTTGCCTGCCTAGGGCAGCTGATTGGGCGAATAAAAACCTGAAAGTCCAATAGCAAGGGAGGAGGTATAGATCGGACTTCTGGGCAGGGAAAATAAGTAGGAGGAGGAATTTAGCCTCAGGAAGAAAGAAAAGGAAGCACCAAGGAGATGCCTCGGGCCAGCCAGACACAGAGGAAGCAGGAAAGAAGGACATACAGAATGAGAGAAAGGTAAAAAGCCCTGAGGCAAAACGTAGATGACCAGAAACAGGTCACATTAAGGTAAAGGAGTTAGTGGGATAAGACTAAGCTAAGGTGGAGCATTCGTAACTAATAAGTCTCCATGTCTTTATTTGGGAGCTGGTTGGTGGCCCAAAGAAAATTCCAACTAGAGGCTGGGAAGAGAAGATCTGCTCTGTAAGTCAGACAGGAGACCATGGCTGGTGTTTAGGATGCTAAGGAAGGACAGGTAGGTGGTGGAACCGTCTGGATTCCCTAGGGTCAGTGCCTTTACTTACTGTGGGTGGATGGTGTCCGATTGTCCTCACTGAGATTGCTCTTATATCTTGGCCTAAATAAAGAGGAGACACTGTCACCGGTGTTTGGTTCCTGAGTTGGGCAGGATAAAGACATGGAGAATTATTAGTTATGAATGTTAAGCCTTAGCTTAGTCTTATCCCACTAACTCCTTAACCCTGGGAGCTGCTTGGTGTCCTTGCTGTGTGTTTACAGCCTGGTGAGCACACTTCCTTTCTTGCTGCTGCCTCCTTTCCCAGTCTAAGGAGGCCCCTCCTAGTGTCTGATCCTTTCACCCTGTCACCTCTGCTGTCTTCCTGACTGGTGCTGGGGTTGAGACTTTGGTCGAGTGGGACATCCCGAGTCCTAAGAACTCTTCTTCTTTTCAGTGCTCATCACATTCTATCTAGACACCCACACCCCCTTTTTCTCCCACTGGCAGGATCTTTTTCTCAGTGGTTGTCCCAGGGGACCCTGATGCTTGTCCCTTTAGATTCTCTGTCTGACCCTTACATTCTCCTGCTGCTCTTTTTCTTCCTTTTCTTCCCTCCATTCCTTTCGCCTCTTCTTGTGTTTTTCTTTGTGTTTCCTGATTTTCCCACTGGGAGACAGGGAAATACAATGACTCTTTTGTTCTAAGCCACATGGGAATGGGAATGACCACGACCCGCAGAGAGTGGGGTTTAGGGAGTGGGAAGCATTTAAGAAACCAAGAATTAGCGAGAAGCTAACGCTTGGGAAAGGCAAGAAGAGATCCAGTCTGGACCCAGATAGGTGAAGAAAACCTTTTCTGACCCCAGGCAAGGAGGAAGTAGAAGAGGAAATGATTTCATACGTGTGAAGTTTCTTGAAAAACACGAAGTATGCCAGGCCTCCTAGTATAGCCAGCCCAGCCAGAAATTCCACAACCAAGGCAGCAGCCATCGGGGCTGAAATTGGGTAATTCCTTTTTGACGGTTCATCTGTCATGGAAGGATATCAGAAGAAGGAAGAGAGCATCAGCGTAAAGCCATTTTACACTTAGAATGTGTTGGCACCCAGCCCCCACAGGGTCTCTAAGAGTTGTTTTCCACCATAACCACAGGTACCTCCTGTTTTCCTGACCTTGCCCCAGTAGGATCAACGACATCTTGTGAACCCTTTGACCTGGGGTTTTTGTAAGTTTGTATATAAGGTTGCTCCACAATAAAGGTGGGAGATATTCTCCCAGAAAGTGAAGCAGGCTTCTTGTTATTCATCCAAATCTCCAGGCTTTCGGCCGATACTCAGACTTAGTGGTGGCCTAGAGTGGCAACAAGTGGAGGTTCCACCGAGATTGGGAAAGAAAGGGGACCCTGAGAGAAGGCTCAGAAGGCTGGCCAGCAAGTAAGGAGTTGTGAGGGTGGATTGCAAAAGATACTAGAAAATATGTACCTCAACTCCTGAGAGATTTGGATTGGAAAAAGGTACTGGAAAATAGATGCCTCAACTCCTAAGTGAGTTAGATTGTAAAGGCACTGGAGAAGGGATGCCTCAACTCCTAAGTGAGTTGGATTGGAATAGAGAACTCGGTCAAATACACAGAGAAATTTGAAAGCGACAAGGTACTGGTAAGATTTCATTTTAACTTTGGATTAAGAAATAATGCTAAGAAAATTATTAAAGAAATACGGAAATCCTCCTCTGAGGCATCCCTCCCCAAGAGCTGTGCACCAGCAGCCAGCTGGCCCAGCAGTCTATGCCCTTGTCCACTCGAGCCCTCTGCAGGCTCCAGTCAGCCGGCAATGATGTGGTGTGCACAGGCTGGCTGGAGAAATTACCTCCTGAGAAAAAGTCGGGGCGGTATGCTTGGAAGAAACGCTGGTTTGTTTATCTTATGGAGAGGTCAGATGAATGGTGACACACATGTTCTAGAATAGTATAAGAATGAACACTCCAAGAAACCCCTGTGGATTATCAACTTAAACTTCTGTAAGCAGTTGGATGTAGGTGTTACCTTCAACAAAAAAGAACTCCAAAAGAGTTTTATGGTTGCTATAAAGACAAACGAGTGTACCTTCTACCTGATGGCTGAGACAGAGGCTGACATGAATAGGTGGGTCCAGAGCATCTGCCAGATATGTGACTTCAGTCAGACTAAAGAGAGCACTGACACCCTAAGAAACCTTTCTTCAGTCAGTCATAGTCTCCACTCCTCTCCAGCTGAGTTCAGCAGCTACAGTCAGCATCTGCTCTGAGCATCAAAGTCCTCAGCTCCTTCACATTCCAGCCTGCCTTGTCCACCAGTGCACCTCCGGAGTATCAAGACTTGCACCAATGCATAAGCCGAAGGACAGAAAATGCAAGGAGTTCCAGCTTCTCTCAGAGTACCCGACAGGAGAGTGATACAGCAGCCCAAAAGCTTGCCCAGGGCAATAGACACAGTATCAACAGAGTCAGTGGTCAGGTCCACGGCTTCTATAGCCTTCCCAAGCCAAGCCAACCCAGTGCTTTTGACCTCCTCCATAGCCTGGCTTCACACAGCCACCCCAAGGGCAGCCACAGATAGTGAGGATGTGTGTTCAAGGCACCCAGCAACACCCTGTGAAGGAAATTTGGAGGCTTTCTAGGGGACTCAGCCATAACTCCCCCACCAGGGCACCCCAAGACACCTTGGTGGGGCAGCCCTCAACAAAGACCTCCAGTCAGTGACTACAAGTATCCAACACGAGGTAAAGAAACCGCCTGCTGGTCTCCTAAATCTCCAGAAAAGACTATCATGGGTCGATCAGGCAGTGCCAGCTCTGATGACAACTATGTGCCTGTAAAACCAGATTCTTACATCCCCATGAGCACAGTGCTGCACCCACAGCCCTTCCTATTCATAGAGGCTCCAGCTGAGGAACTGAGATCCAGCCACCCCCGGTCAATTGTAATCTCAAGCCTGGCTGAAAAGCAAAGCCAGCACCCATTGACCTGAGAAACCACACTGTCATCAATGAGCTCCCTTTCAAGTCACCTATCACCAGGTACGGCAGTCCTCAAGACCCTCCAGAGATGCCAAGCTATGCTAAGGATGGCCATCCCCCGACACCTCCTCTCCTTTGTGAGCTTTGTTTAAAACATGTATGTATGTTCTGTTAGTATGGTGTGGCCACACGTGTGTATGAAGTGTGATTGTAAATGTGTAAATGTTAACAAAAGAATGCTATTGTGTTGTCTTTAAATCATTTAGTTGCTGGGGAAGGAGCAACAGTTGTTAAAGTACAGCTTACTTGGGAGGGAAATTTCTGCTTTTGTTTCCATGGAGGGTGAAGAGCTGTGGGTTCCTTCCAGACTGGTATGGTTTCACAGGGAAAGACCCCCCTGAAGCAATGGCCCAGGTAATCCGAATATTTGTTTTCATTTAGAAATGGTAGTGGTCACAGTAAATCACTTTTTAAAGGAAAAAAGAGGAATATGATATAGAAATGATACTTTGTATTGGAATGGATTCTCATTTGTTGGTACTTTGTATTATTGGAATGTATCTTCATTTGTTGATATTAGTTAGGTTTTCTAGATATACAGATAGTCTTCAAAACTTTCAAAGACCTACAGAATATATGGCATTTAAATGGTTTAGGATTTTTCTTGACAGTGAGACACAACTGCTCCTGACACACCAATTACATCTGAGAGGAAGATGGGTATCCAAGAAACTAGTTATAGAATTTACCTTTGACATGGCAAGACTAGCCATTTGGGCAAGAAGCTATTATTGCCTGAACTGTTTAACTGTTGCTTTGTAAACTGGACATGCAGGACCCATAGGAAAGTGACTGTTGATGGACAGTCCTAAAGGGTTCCTGCTTCATGAAAGAGTCTGCCAGATATTCTACAGGACACAGAAAAAAAGATGACAAACTGCCAATTCAGGTGGACAGTTTAGAATTTCCTGCTTAGCTGAGAAGTCTGCCACACACATTGTGGCCTTTGGCTAAAGGTGGATGCCCCAACGTTACCAAGAAACTTTGGTTGACTGTCTAGGAAGCAAGATGTCTCTGTCACTTCTAGAGTTTATATATTAACCTTCTGTGGTCTTTGATAGAGTTGAAGATAGATGGTTATAGAAACACACTAAGATGGAAAGGTTGAAATCTTATAGTTCCTACTTGATAACTGTGATTTTATATATAAAGAAGGGGGAGATGTTGGGACCCAGCCCCCACGGGGTCCCTAAGAGTTGTTTTCCACCATAACCACAGGTACCTCCTGTTTTCCTGACCTTGCCCCACTAGGGTCAACATCCTGTTGTGAACCCTTTGACCTGGGGTTTTTGTAAGTTTGTATATAAGGCTGCTCCACAATAAAGGTGAGAGACATTCTCTCAGAAAGTGAATCAGGCGTCTTGTCGTTCATCCAAATCTCCAGGCTTTTGCCCGATACTTGGACTTAGTGGTGGCCAAAGGTGGCCACAAGAATGGGGACATATTCTGAGCATGGGGTGTGATCCTGGGGAAGCTCACTCAGCATGGGATGTGATTCCTATCTGTTCCTTCTCAGAGTGCGATTTATTTTCTAAGTTTGGGTGTGTGAGGGGAAGTGAGCCTGGATGGCAAAGTGAGCTCTAGAGCAGCCTAGGTTAGAGAGAGAAACCCTGTCTCAACAAAACAGATCAAGACCCCAAGCCAGAATTTCCTTTGTCCAACTGCATCCCTGTAGCTAAATGATTTTTTCATGTATTTATTTATTTTGTGTTTATGTGTGTTTGGGCATGTTCCAGGGACTTTGTGAGGTCATCAGAGGACAACTGCAGGGGGTCAGTTCTTTCTTTCTACCATGTGGGTCCTGGGACCAAACTTAGGCAGTTATGCTTGACATCAGGCACCCTTGTCTGCTGAAGCATCCTGACCACCCCTCAGTTACTTCTGACAAAGGTCCTGAGACACTGTTTAGAAAACCAAATAGCTTTCCCTAGTACCACCTGCAAAAACAGCGCTAAACAGACCAGAAATCTAAATCACACAACTAAAAACTCAAAAGCTTTTAGAAAAAGGCAAAAGCTTCATTACATTGGTTTTGGCTGTGCTTTCTCAACTGTGCCAGCAAAGCAGAGGTGTCAAGAGAACCTGAGAACCTGAGAACAGAAGACTTTTGGGCATCAAGGGCTTGTCAGCCATTTGATTTTGTACTTTGCAGGCTTTCTTTGCATGCATCCAAATCATGTAGGCACTAAAGAACTTCCATCTCATGAAGAACAGGTCCTACTGTGGACCTCTGCAAAGCCACTAAGGTCCTCTGCCTGTCTCAAGCTTCTTCTGTCAGTGGCTCAGTAAACTGGCTGTGGAATTCTACCTCCACACCCCAACTTTCTTAGAAATAACTGTCCTGGGGCTGTAGAGATGGTTCAGTGGTTAAGAGCACTGGCTGTTCTTCCAGAGGAGCCAGGTTCAATCCCCAGTACTGACATGGCAGCTCAAGATCTATAACTCAAGTTCCAGGGGACTGGCACCCTCACACCAATGTACATAAAATAAAATTAAATAAGTTATTAAAAAGAAATAGCTGTCCTTCTGTCCCCTTCCACATCCTAATACTGCTGGAGATTTTATGTGATGGTAACAGTGTCCCTAATAGATCCTATAAGCCAGTCAATCCCAGACTGATTCTGCCATTGGTCCTCAGGTTATACAGCCGTTGTCTCAGGGTGGATGGGTGGCTGTATCACTCAGTTTCTCCTCATCTCTGCTCCTCAGGCCGATCCCTCCACACTCCAAACAGAATCCTCATGATCCAGGCTCTGGTTGGAGCTTTCATTGTTTGTTTAAAATCCTTTCCCAAGGAGGGAGCTACGAGAATGAGAAGGGAAGAAGAGGAAGGATGCAGAGGTCATGAGGGAGCAGAAAGGTTGAGTCGGGGGAAGAATAGAAGAAAGGACCTATGATAGGTAGGGTTTTAGTTGGGGGGGTAGGGGAGGAGGGGAGGGAGAAGGGAACTGGGATTTTCGTGTAAAACAATCTTGTTTCTAATTCAAATAAAAAAATTTGAAAAAAATAAAATCCTTTCCCAAATCAAGCAGTTCAGGAACAGATTATCATAGTTACTTGTACTGAACCTCAATTAAGTCCTTCTGTGTGTTGAAACATTCGATACCCCGTATTAAAGGTCAGACCTGCGGGGAGTCTATCACTCCCACCATGTTTTCTTCCTCCTTACTGTAAGTTGCCCCCATGGGTCCCAAGAGAAGCTGTAAGCTCCAAATAAACTTTCTTCTATAGTTGCCTTGGTCGCTGTGTCTTCCCAGCAACAGAAAAGTAAATGCAACACCACCCCATACCAAGAAGAAAAAGACTACTACTCTGGGTTTCTGCCAAATGGACATGCTGTTCTCAGTGTGCTTGGTTTTGGTATCATGTCTTACTACCTATTGCATGGAATATCACCGATATATCAAACAGGTGTGCAATCCCATGTCCCATGAGGAAAGCTAGCCATCGTGTTAGTGCTTCATGGACATTCCACCCTTACAGTGGTCAGCTTCAGTTATCCATCTTGATGCCCCTTTCTGCGGCCCCTTACAGAGGGCTTGCAGTCACCTCTCCTCAACTCATCTTTGGTTCTGTCAGCCCCTGTTCAGATGCCAACTGTGTTGTGTGACTTTTCCAGAGGAGTCGTTAACAAATGGTAGACCAAACCTGACCAAACTATTTCTTTAAGTCTACCTTACTGAGACAGGGAGTTTTTTTTTTTAGGGTTACTTTTAGGAACATAGATAACTGGAAGACAGCCACATCACAGACAAGCTCACCTCAGCATGGGTAACAGCTCATGAAGCTGCATGCCCAGAGTCCCCATGCCAATCACAGGCAGCTTGGCAGGTGGGAAAGCCTACTTTCCCAGACACAGGTACTCTATACAACTTTAGGGAGAGGAGAGAGGGTATTGTTAGTTTCAGGAGCTTCCTGAGCCTTGTGAGTTTGTTTTCCTTCTGACCTCAACCAAATGTTTATCTCAGAGGAAACAGCTGCCCAGCTACAGAGCTGAACTTCTATGCAGATAGAAGACTGGATGGTGCTCACCAGGGACTGGCTGGGGGAAGGAAACACCGAGGAGCTGTTGGTAGCAGGATATAGATTTCACATTGGAAAGAGGTGTGGGTTAGAAGTAACCCATAGAGAATCATAGTCAATGGTAGTGTGTATTTCAGAGCAGCCAAGATGAATTTCTACCGCCTTACCATAACAAGTGGGAGATGACTGAGGTTGACTTAGCCATTCTGTATTGTACACAGACATCAAAGATCACATTCTACTTCTCCAGGCTATGTACAGTTGGGATGACAGTTAAAGCAACATTAACCAGTAATAGAGCAAGTATCAAGAGAGCGGAAAGACCATTTTCAAGTGCTAAAAAATGATACTGTACATATGAGCATGGGCCAAAATACATCAAGTAACTTTCACAGTTCAACAACAGTAACAATAAAACCACAAGCAGCTCAATTTAAAAAGAAAGGAAGGATGTGGTATTAAAAATAAACAAACAGGGGCTGGAGGGATGGCTTAGCGGTTAAGAGCACTGGCTGCTCTTCCAGAGGTCCTGAGTTCAATTCCCAGCAACCACATGATCTCATCTATAGTGAGATCTGGTGCCCTCTTCTGTCATGTAGACAGAATACTGTATATATATATTAAATCTTAAAAAAAAAAACAAACCCAAAAACCGAATGGACACTAAACAAATGAAGAACTGCTCAGCATTACTAGGTCATTGTGAAAATGTTTCCCAAACTGCAGTAACATACTGATCTACATCATCAGCATAGCTATTACTAAAGATAAGAAAAAAAAGAGTTGGAACACTGGCAGCCACTGTTGAAACCTGGAATATAGGCTCACACACACACACACCCCACATACCACACACACACACACACACACACACACACACACACACACACACACACACACACACACCACATACATCACACATACACACACACACCACATATGGCACACACACACATATACACACACTCACACAACATACACACATACATACTACACACCATACATACACAAACACTCTCACAAACATACACTCACACACCACACACACATATCACATACCACACATACCACACAAGCATACACACACAGTCACACACCACACACACATCACACATACACTCATATAACACACTCACAACTACACACCACACACACACACTCTCACATACACACACTCACACACCATGCACACACACAGCACAAGCATACACACACACCACACATCACACACACATACACACACCACACACACATCACCCCCACACATACACACACACTACACATTACAGATACACGCACACTCACACATACACACACATCACAATACATACACACACATCCACACACCACACACATCTCACAAGTATACACCGCACACACCACTGACTGGGATGCAGAGTAATACCTTATTCTAAAAACCTAACCAGCAACAAATAAAGCAGGATTACCATTAGACCCAGTGACTGTGTGTCTGGGTGTATGTCCGGGAGAGCCAGATGCATGGATGCAGGGATCTCCACAGACACCATCCTCACAACCTTCACAAGCCCACTGATGGACGAAAAATAAGAGAACGTGGCACATACACACACGGTACAATCATAAAATAGAAAACTATTGTCTCAAAAAAATGAACTGAGCATGGTGGCATATGCCTGTGTTTCTATCATTCAAGAGACTGGAGCAGGAGGATTGAGAATTCAAGGCTAGACTGAAACCAAAAAAAATAGATTCCTGTCTCAAACAAAACAGAATGGTAAAATTCTGATACGTGGTGCAAAATGGATAAGCTCTGAAAGTATTATGCTAAGGGAAGGAAAGCAGATATACAAGAATTGTTCAAGTGTTACTCTTCTCACGTGAGTCTGGTAGCAGGCTAACTTGCGGAGTGGTAGATACAGGGGCAGGGAGAGGAGCTATCGTCTTTCTATGTGTGACTGGATGTGTTGTGTGTGCACATCTGTGAGGAAACCAAAAGTTGAAGCTGAGAACTTCCACAACCCACTTCTCCACTTGTTTTCATTTTCTTTTGAGGCAGTCTTAAAAATCTGTAGTTCACCAGTTGGCTAGATCACTTGGGCCAGTAAGTTCTAGGAATCCTCCTGTCTCCACCTTGTCATTTCTTACCACACCCTGGTTATACACAGGTGCCGGGGACTCGCACACATGCCTTGTCACTGTCCCCACAGCTAACATTTAATGACTCTAAAGGCTTGTATGTTAAAATGCTGACGTTATGGGGGATGGGCCATTGCTACACAGCACTGTACCAATGCCTCTGAAGATAGCTAAGACAGGAAACTTCATGTATCTCTCAACAAACAGAAAAGAATCCTGTGCAAGGCCATGCTGTGAACAGCAGATACAGGAGAAGAAACAACGAGAGCCAGCCTTCTCCATTCACAGATTCCATCCAGAGCCCTGGACCAAGCCAAACACATATTCGGAGGAACCCAGATGTGGGGTGCACATCTGTAGGAGCTGCACCTGGGAGGTGGAGGCAAACAGTCACCATCTACATACTGTGAGGATGCCTGGGTCGCATGGGACACTCCCCTCCCCCAAACAAAAAGGCCCCCACAAAACAAAACATTGCAGAACAATTGTCTCTGCCCCGAAAACTGCATAGACATTTCCTGGCATCGTTTCTCACTAACAACAGCGCTCTTTGCCTCATGGTGGAGCTGTATCAGATGCTGGAACCTGACCATAACATACAGTGTGAGGGATAGCATGCACACTCACATGGAAACGTTGCCATGTTTTCAAGGAACTAGAGCATCCGTCCAAAGGCTCTGATATCCGTGGGCTCCCTGGCACCAGTTACCCATGGGTACCAGTGACCACATGCCTGACTCAGAGCTTACCCCTTAACCACTTGGTAAATGGGTTTACGTCTTGGTTTGATTTGTATTCAAACAATTTAGAGACGGGGTCTTCCTCTGTATCCCAGGCTGGGCTTACTCTCCATCCTCCTGCCTCCCAAGTGTGGGGTAATAGGTGGGTGCTACACTGCCTCACTGTTTTAGTGTCTCAGGTCATAGACGTCTCCCCGTGTCTGCCATCTATTTTACACAGTATCAGTAAGGAATTCCCCAATAAGAGGCATTGGAGATGGTAGAGAGTGTACAAGAGCTTAGTGGGGAAAAAAAACCTATCTGAGTTGGATCCCTATGATCCAGGTAGAGGTGGAAGGAAAGAACCTACTCCATAAAGCTGTTTTCTGACCTCCATTATATGCAGCATGGCACTGTGATCTACCCAGTAATAATATAATAAAATTCACAAAGTTCCCTGTAAGATGTGTGGGAAAGAGAACTTGGATCACTCACAGAGTACAGCCAGGCTGACTGGGTCGCTTAACCTGGAATTGAAGGGATTGGAGACCTCACACTGGTATGCCCCAGCATCCTCCTTTGTGATGGGTCCTATGGTGAGACTTCTGTTGTTCAAGGTGAACACCACCCTGTCTGTGGTCTTCAGTCTCTTGTTATTGAATGTCCACCATATGGAGATGCCAGGATTCTCTGATACGCAGGTCAGGTCCACAAAATGGTGTTCTAGCACAGTTTTATTTTTGATTTGGATATGGGGCTTCCGCAATTTCTCTGCAAACAAATAGAAGAGCGTCTCTCTGTAAAGGTTTCAGCCAGCTTGTGGGGGCCAGAGTATAAAGTGTAAGAAGGCTCCGAGTTGTTTCTAACACCAGGCATGCCCAGTTTTGGTTTAGGAGGCAATCTACAGGAAGAGTGAGGGACCCACTTGAACTGTGTGG